TTTGATTTTGATTCTTGGGGTCACGATTCGATTCAGAATTGATTTTTCGATTCAAAATATTCTGGATTCATTGATCCATGGATTCAAAGTCTATGAATTAGTACATACTTCAGGATCTACTCCAGTCATCTGTTATACTGGCTGAATTTCTTGTTGCTCTATTTGCCATTAAAGAGCTAGCCTTAGCACTTAACAGGGAGTGACTGATAAGCCCTCCAAAAAAAATAATAATAATAATATTTTAGCTTTTAAAAAAATATTTATTTTGAAAATCGATTTTTGGAAGTTATGAATCGATTTTAAATCTTAGAAGAGAAGAATCTCGCTTTTTTCCCACCTCTACACGTAAGGGTACAGTGTAAGATGGTGCTGGTTTGGGAGGAGGGGATTAAATATGTAACATAAATAGTTTATATGTTTTTATTAGTGTATGTATAATCATCTAAGAGTATGAGCCATATTTTCTTTACCTTAGAAGGAACTCTTTCAACAGAGGCATTGGGGCTTGTCCAAGGAGTCCACCATGATACACCACCATGTTTCTACAGTAGCCCAGTACAAACAAAGCAGAGCAGGCCTTTGGTGTTTTCTCATGAGGCTGTGAGGAGTGGTCATTAATTGTTTAAATTTGTATTGTTTTGTTAGGTTTTTCCAGGTACAAGTAAGAATATAGAATATAATAAATCTGTATTGTCCACCAAAGGTGGAAATTTGCCTGAGGCTCTCAGTTGATTGTGGATGAACGTCACTGGCCTTCAGGACACAACATAATAACTGGCCTTCTGGCCCAGACTCCTGATTAAAAATATCTGGGCCAGCTGATTACACGTTCCACTGGCCCGAGCCAGTTAGCCTTAAAAATATAAAACCGTTATAAATAATTCATAGCTTCATACCACTTTCCTGTGATACCAGTGTTTTGTAAGTGACTCTTGTGAGATCAACTTGTTAATGACTGCTACAGCATCAACGTTTCATAAAGGCCTCTGAGCTCGTTTGTCCACGTGTGCCTTCAGTAGCTTCACTGCTGTCACTCTCTGATAAACTTGAATAGTGAAATCTTTTTGAAGGGCGCTGGATGTGCCTAGTCTAGTGTTTATGACATGCGCCCTATTTACTGTAGGCTGTAGTCCTAATTACAGAGGCCGGTGGGTTTCAAACTATTTCCTGTCTCTCTTATGCTGTCCTATCTAATAAAGTCAAAATGGCCCAAAAAATTACTTGAATTCTTTTTTTTGTTAATACCACAGGTTCCAGCCATGAAAACCTGTCAAAAAAACAACAACATTTAGGCTAATGTAAAGAAAATCCCCTGAAGAATCGAGGGAGAGTGATATTTTATATTTGTATGAAAAGAGAACAACCAGCTAACTGAGGAGGACATGGAGGAAGAACTCAGTGAATTAGAAATGTTCCATAAAGTACACTTAGGAAGCTGTAGTTTAAATTGAAAACAACACATAGGAAGGGGTCACCAGCTGAAACTAACAAGCAGGGTGTGAAAGTAGGTTGAAACCATAGACTAAACATGGCCTTAGTATCAGTAACGTCACCCTTTGGTTACTGAAGCAGACTTTTGAAGCCCATTGTAGGAAATCCACATATTGAAAATGTTGTCTTAAACTAACTTTCGGCAACCTATCAGGCAAAGAGCTGGAGCTGGAGTCTCCTGACAAACAGCTATAACAAGCCAGTCTGTCAGTCAGCTCAGCCACGACCCTTATTATGAATAGCTTCATAAAATCAAAATGAGGATAATTAAAACAAAATCACCCCTCCTTCAGTGTGTGTCGATAAAGACATGAAATATTCAGGCCAAAATCTATTTTTTGTACCAAGCTGTAAACATGTTTATTCTGCTGTAAAAATTAACATTTTAATAAGGGGCGCATTTGTGACCTCAGCCTCAAGTGGACATTAGAGGAACTGCAGGTTTTTACACTTCTGCATTGGCTTCATTTTTCAACTCTGAAGTTGTCACTTGGTTGAAACTGAGGTTTGAAGCTTCATCAGACTTAACTTGCAAAATAAGTTATTCATACATTTTTTAACATGGGAATGAAGGCGAGTACAAATAGGGCTATGAACTGGCTTATGTTCATGATGAGGGCCAAGTTAAAAATGCTGCCTAAGAAAGTAATTTCTATGATATAAAAGGGGAAACATTTGAATTAAAAGAATTAGAGTAAATTAAATCTTAAGCTCAATACTTTCAAGTTGTTAAAAAGTGTATGTGCTTTATAGAATTATATATTTTTTATGAAATGTATTAATGTTTTACAGGAGTTATATCTCATCCAAATAATTGTATGGATACTGTATTGAAGCAGTCTAAGTTAAAAATATGTTATTAATAATGGTGGGTGTTTTGTTCTCATTGTATCTTTACTGTTTTGAAAACAGTTGAAGCTGTTGACATATTGTTAGGGGAAACCTATTGTTAGGGGGGGGGGCGATTATGCTTTGAAACTGTGAAGTGTGGTGTTCTGCTGATGTGATTCACTCTGTTGACATGCTGACCTCAGGATGTGCACACTGTCACAGTAGATGCTCAATGTTAACACACCTGTCACAAGGATACACATTTTTACTCCAAGTGAATTTCAAACTTCTTACCATATCAAGTAAGTACACAGCGACCCCTAGTGTCATAACGTGTACACTTGCACACACCACAAGCTCTTAGAAATACAAACTAAACAGTGCAGGCTCCCTGATTCATAGAAATCAACTGTAAATGTGACAGAAATGCATTCATTCATTCATTCATTCATTCATTCATTGGTTGCTGAAGATGTTTGTGTGCAAAGCTGCTGCACTGGATACTGAAGATGTTAGCATTTTCTGACTAGTTTCTATCTGCTGTTTAGCTTTTACAAAGGTGAAGCAAACATGTTATTTCTTTACATTGCTGCAAAGAGAAAAACATGAATTCCAACTTAGGTATTTGTGCCACAACTGACCCAAAAATCTAAATTAGTCAACCGTTTTAATAATACGCCATTTATCACTCGTACATTTAACGTGCTTCCTAATGGAAAGATAAGATGATACTCTGCATTTTTAAATATAAAAAGTTTTCAGGGTTCAGGAAAGAGCGTGTTTTGTTAACAGAGAAGAGCATTAAAAATACCAACTCTTTGAAAAAATTCAAACTTTTTTTTTTCTTTTACTTGAAAACGCTGCCATGATAAGTTGATTAGCCTTCAAAGGTCGAAATAAGTGTGCAATTTGTTTAGATAGTTTGAGGGTCACCTTATCATTACATTTATGTAGTCATACACTTATACACAATGCACAATCATACACAATGGATCAATCACTTAAGAAGTTGATTCACAAATGATGGAAATAATCAATTATTGGGACCCTGAATAGTGTTTTTGCAGAACGATGTTTTCAAACGATTTTGAGCTGACTTTCTTTAAAATAGTAAGAATAAAAACGTTTTAAGTCTTAAGTGACAACATTGAGAAACAACATGTTGACATTATCACAGGGTACTCTGCAGTGTCGGTGTATGTAACTGAAGTTGGTTCTGACTTTTTACACACTGACTGTGTGATGCTCTCGTGGGGCCCATGTCGTGCACCACGAGGCTACACAGGTTTTCATGCATACGTTTATCTGAGTTATCAGCAGTTAGCACGCCCTCCGGTTCAGAGACCCGCCTCTCCCATTGGCTGCTGTTCCTCTCATCTCCTCTACGATTGGCTCAGCTCAGAGCTGCATTCACTGCCCATGTGCACTGCATGTGAATGGCTGACAGCTTGTTATTCTTCTAACATCTGTTTTCCCTCGATTCTCTTGCTCCTTTGTCGCACATTTACGGTAACCAAGGTGTTGTCTAAGAAAGCGGTTCTTAACTGGCCGGTGTCCTAGAAATATATGCGAGAGGGATTCTAGGAATTGTTTTGATGCTTTTACAACACAAAGTTGGCATACATAAAAATAAAAGTACCTGCTGCCCATTTCTTAGGATAAGATAGGATAATACTTTATGGAGCCCCAGAGGGGAAATTCGGGCGTTACAGCAGCACAGACAAGAAAGCTCAAAATCCACATTAAACAGAATAGATAAGATAAATAAAAATAAAAATAAAAATAAAAACAGTACAAAATGAATGATGAAGTTAACTGGGGGGAATTGAGAATTGAGACAGTATTTGCAGAGAATGACAAGATAAAGTGACAAGTGATGATTAAAGTGACTTGGTATGATAAATAGCAGCAAGTAATGTAAAACAGCAGAGAAGAGAGGCAGTGTTGTACCACAGTAATGCAGAGTGCAGTTATATAATATAATGTAGTATAATATAATATAATATAGTGCAATATGAACAATATAGTGTAATATAATGAAATGTTATATAATATAGACTAGTATAATAATATAATAAAAATATATAGAATGTAAAGTATATATGTATAAATATATATATAGATGCTAAATAATAATAATAATAATAATAATAATAATAATACAATGTTAGTAATGATAATAATGAAGCAGGTCATGTGGGTAGTGTTTACATCCATATCTTTCTGTGAATAATAAATAGTGCATTTGTTTATGTAATGTTCAAAAAAAGTTAGTCTCCCTCCCTTTATTTAAAGATTGTGATCTGTTTTAATGTTGGATTAAGCCTTGAATTTGGGTTATTTTGCCAAGCATGGCGTTTTCCATTGATCTCCAATAACCAACTCCAAAGACGCAATAACCACTGGCATAGATTTATTTATCTATGAAGCACTTATCATATATCACCTCCTTGTTACATCTAAGCCCTGGTTCATTTTTAACTCGTTCAAGTGAGAGACTTGTTCTCCAGTTTCCTCATGCCAGGACTGACCTGGGGAAAGTGAGGTGAAGTGTCACGGTTAAAGTGCTGGGTAAGCAAAGTCACATCCTGTACCAGACTCCTTGTTTTGATATCACAATGTCCGGTGCGCGTCTCCTCTGGTCGTTACGGTAATACGAAACTGCTGTTTCTCAGCTGATTATGAGGGATCCATCCTCCCTGCAGAATCAAGACTTCCAAGGGCTGAAGCCCACCGCTGCACTTTCAGACTAGGAGGGTAACATGAGTGATCGAAACCCCAGGATGTTAGACAACGATGAGTTCATGTTGGAGACTTCCCCGCGGGAGCTCACGCAGAACCCGCTCAGGAAGATCTGGATGCCGTGCAGAAACGGACACATAGCTCATAGAAGGGGTGAGATGCAGCTAACCGGCATGTGGGAGCTGATGCTGGACATTTGCTAATATTCTATGTATTTTATTTATTTTTCACATATTATTTCAGGCTCGTTCTCATAGACCCATCTTGTCCAATAATTGAAGCTGTTGTTTTAGATATTGCGCACTCTTAAAGTAATGAGCAGCATCCTTTACCTTTGATGTTTGACAGTGTTGCGTCATGTCCACCTATCTGCCTTGTCTGCCAGCTCCTTGTTTCAGGCGCATATAGCTACATTTGAATCATGAAGGGGAGTTAATTTTATGAGATTAACTAATGAGACAAGCATGACTAGACTGCACCCAGGTGGACCAGCACGTCTGATGCTGTGAACGTTAACCCTTCAGTCTGGATGTGACACTGAGCAACTGGCTTTTCTCCCTCTGCTGGTTTTTGCTTAGTCAAGCTCTCTTCAGAGCTGCATCCCTTTTTAAAGCAGGGTGCAGCTGGATCAGCCCTGCATCCGACACCAGACATTTACCTGGAGTATACAAATTATATTTACAGCAAAAATACGTCTTCAATTCCAAATCGATGTCAGGTATCTGATTTGTGACTACAACATTGTTAATTTAAAATGTTCTATTACCAGGCTTGTGGCACTTAGTAAACAATTATTTTAAAAAAGGATATTAAGGTATACTTTGTTTTTGCAGATTCTGAAATTGCTCTTGTGTTTGATTTACATAAGCCATAAAGAAGCTTAGTATTTTGATAAGAATAAGAAAAAATACTTTTTGAAAAAATATTCAGCTTTTGCACACTTTTGGTTGTTGTTTATAGATTAGATTTTTGTTTTGATTTCCATATCAAATGAACTGAAATCTTTCAACCACATTAAAAGTGTGCCTCTCTCTCTCTCTCTCCCTCCCTCCATGTCCCTCTCTCTCTCTCTCTCTCTCTCTCTCTTTCTCCCTCCCTCCATGTCCTCTCTCTCTCCTTCTCTCTCTCTCTTCCTCTCTCTCCCTCTCCCTCTCGCTCTCTCCCTCCCTCCATGTCCTCTCTCTCTCTCTCTCTCTCTCTCTCTCTCTCTCCCTCTCTCAGTATGTATGACAAATTGTCCAACCATCATTGTGACTGTTGGACTTCCAGCCCGAGGAAAGACTTACATCTCAAAGAAGCTGACGCGATACTTAAACTGGATAGGTGTGCCAACCAAAGGTAGACGCTTCAGCCTCACCACACACACATACTTATGTTTGCAAATCACTTTTCAGGTGGGAGCAGTTATACTTGAATCTTTATATATATTTTTGGAATACACATTTTATTATATTTTCAGAGCTTTGAAGAAATACCATCAAACCACAAGAATAAATAATGAACACTTCATATCCTACATAAAACACACAACAATAACTGTTTTTAAAAAAGAGCAGCTTCTCTTAAAAAGCACAAAGTGTGTTATAATATTGATATAAGGAAAACATTTCAAAACAGCAAACTGCTGTAGCATAGAGAGATACACCACATCAGTCCTTTGTGTGTTTCCAGGTTTCATCAAACAAACTTCTGTAAAATCTTACTCTCTCCACATGTAATGCTTTTAGTTTTTCACTGAATTACACAATCATACACACGGGTACAGCGTCTATTCTCTCTGCTTGCTGGATTACATTTTTTCAATCATCATTTCAAACAAAACAGCCATTTATTTATTGTAATAATATGAGGAGTTTGTTTCTCCATGGATGACTTTGAGTAGATCAGGATCCCAAAAGCCTAACTACATATTTTGTCTGTAACAGAGTTCAATGTTGGCCAGTACCGCAGGGAGTGTCTGAAGATCTACAAGTCCTTTGAATTCTTCCGTCCAGATAATGAGGAAGGCTTAAAAATCAGGCAGTAAGTGTACTGACAATGCAGTCTGCTACTTTCAGTCCGGGTAGTGAAAAGAATGAGATTTTCTTCTGCTTCTTCTGAAGTCTTCTGCTTGTCTATTGCCCAGGATTTGACCATCCTGATAAACAGACAGTGTTTTAAGGATCTGCACCCATCTAAACTTCAAATTAAAACCTGATTGAACATTATTTTTAGGGATTCAAGAATAATAAGAGTTTATTTCTCATTTCAAAATCTTTTAGTACATGGAAGGGAGACAAATCAGGTGCTCAGGTCCCATTCAAAGAAAGCAATAACAGAAAATAAAATTGTATATATATAAATAGTTTATATATTGTGTTTTTCTAATTTAAAAAAATAAGCAGTCACTGTAAGTTAGTATGTGAGTAAAAAACATATTGTTAAAAAGCTCATCAGTACACTTGACTGTTTTCCTGCTGTCCTCTCACAGTCAGTGCGCCACGTCAGCTCTTAATGATGTGCGACAGTACCTGAGTATAGAAGGAGGACAGGTGGCGGTGAGTCTCTATGACAAATGATCAAAATTACAGCCCAAAGATTACACATCAGGGCTGCATAAGAAACATGTTTTTACTCCTGTTTTAGGTCTTTGATGCCACAAACACAACCAGAGAGAGGAGAGGGACCATCGTTAAGTTTGCTGAGCAGAGTGGGTTTAAGGTACGTGAGCCAAAGAACAGTTTAGTCAGATTTAACCATTCTCTGCAACTACATCATCTCAAAATTAATTAATTAATTTTCTTTTGAATCCAGGTGTTTTTTGTAGAATCTGTGTGTGAGGACCCAGATGTCATTGCACAAAATATAGTGGTAAGTTAAGTCCATTTCTCTATTACATCACTGATATTTTTGAAATAAAATAAAAAGGTCTGTAACTATAAAGAAGATGGCTGTTTCATATCAGTGTGGTTTCACACAGATATTTCCGTCAACATCTTTAAGTGATGTACTTCAACATTTGGCAATATTTAGGCCTTTTGAGTAGGTTCTAAGTCATCCAGGTCATGGTAAATTTGATGTTTTATCTCCTTTTGGAGGAGAGGTGAAACGTCTTCTAGCTCTTCAAACAAGTCCAGTTGCCTTTGGATCAAGCTTGTGAATGTAGGCCCTTTGGCACAGGCCAAGAATATTTTCAGCCTCTTTTTCGATGTACACAAACATGCTCAATGTATAAAAAGCCAGAAGTGTTTCAGACAGCATACTTCCTCTTCTCTCTGCTCACATCCTTTCTCTGCGTTTCCTCTCTTTGTAGCAAGTGAAGCTGGGCAGCCCAGACTACATCCACTGCGACACAGAGGAGGCCATTGAAGACTTTATGAAGAGGATCAAGTGTTACGAGTCGTCTTACCAGCCTCTTGACGAGGTTCTTGACAGGTGAGGACACACAAAGAATTTACTCCGATCTAAATCAACAACCTCTTCAAATCACAGACGGTTAACTTGACTCTGTTGCTGCAGAGATCTGTCCTACATAAAGATTATGGATGTGGGTAGACGTTACCTGGTGAACCGTGTTATGGACCACATCCAGAGTCGAATCGTCTACTACCTGATGAACATTCACATCACACCGCGCTCAATCTACCTATGTCGCCATGGGGAGAGTGACCTCAACATCAAAGGACGGATTGGAGGAGACTCTGGCCTTTCTGCAAGAGGAAGAGAGGTTCGTTACTGTGTGCTGTGAGCCAGTCAGGAGTTCTAATGCTATCAAAATAACCTAGACGGATGTATTTCAAATAATTTGAAAGACAAATTTAAGGATGTATTTGAAGTGTTTTCCTAAATGGTCTCTTTCCATCTAGTTTGCCAAAAGTTTGGGGGAATTCCTCCAAGACCAGAACATCAAAGATCTCAAAGTGTGGACGAGCCAGATGAAGAGAACGATCCAGACAGCTGAGAGCCTCGGAGTCCCGTATGAACAGTGGAAGTCTCTGAATGAAATCAATGCTGTATGTTGATTCCTGTATTCCTCCTAATGATTGCCTTTAAACGGATGTGTGTGCACTCGGATGTAAAACCTTCTTCTTCTGTCTTTACAAAGGGTGTATGTGAGGAAATGATGTATGAGGAGATCCAGGAGAATTTCCCTCTGGAGTTTGCACTGAGAGACCAGGACAAGTACCGGTACCGCTATCCTAAAGGAGAGGTGAGAGTCTGATTCTTGCAAGTCTCTAAACTGTCTCTTAAATTCCCTCAGAGGTGCAAGGATTGGTAATTTTGTTGATGTGATTCTGTGTCAGTCTTATGAAGACCTGGTGCAGCGACTGGAGCCGGTGATCATGGAGCTGGAGAGGCAGGAGAATGTCCTGGTCGTTTGTCACCAAGCCGTCATGCGCTGTCTTCTTGCATATTTCCTGGACAAGACTGCAGGTGTGAAGGACCTACATTACGATTACTTAATAAAGATTCATGTCAAGACTTTTATCAAATCTTGCTCTGGCTATATTATATGAAAAACTACTGAGCGTGATTCCAACCTAAAATAAATACAATGAATACACCGTTACACTGAAACCTTATGAGGTTTAATAACCTTAATAATAAAATGTCTCTGTGCCCACAGATGAGTTGCCTTATCTGAAGTGCCCTTTGCACACTGTGTTGAAGTTGACCCCCATGGCTTATGGTGCGTAACTTTTGCAATCTTTTTCCACAATTTAAAAAAAGAAAATGAATTTGAATAGATTTGTAGTTAGTCGTGGTCTTAAACAGATATAAAAGATAATCCTGTCTTATGTTTGAAAACAGTCTTGTTGAAAGTTCTGTGTTTAAATCTGATTTTTGCTCTTTTTCAGGATGTAAAGTGGAGTCTGTGTATTTAGGGGTGGACTCTGTGAACACTCACAGAGACAGACCAGAGGTAGGTATCCCAAGAAAACACACAAGAGAGTTCTTTGAGAACTACACACCATGGGGACTTTTCTTCTGTCTGCATTTGCACCGTCATGGTGTTAGCTGACAAACGTTTATAATTATTATAGCATATACAAAATATGGCAATAATAAATTAATTACTATTACAATTAAAATTATAATATTAAAAGCTTTGAGTACCTACTCTGAAGCAGGAGCTAAACAGGTTCATCTAAACAGGGTCTAAAACAGTTTACATTTTTGAATAAATAAAGGGATGGGTTCCAACAGTTCCTGGAACTATGAAAAAGTTCCTACGGTCTGAAGATGCCTATTGACAACTTGAATCGACATCAGGGGTGATCCATCTCATTTTCTGTTCCACTCCTCTGTGAGCAGGAGGAATTAATTCAGGAAATGCTTTAACTTTAAAAAAAAATGTTTTTCTCTCTATTTGATTCCTGGAGAGGCGCATTGTTTTCTTCAAGCTTATTTAGGAGTACTAGTTGGTACTGATCCCTCCCTCTCTTCTTACTGCACAGAGAATGTAAATCTTTGACACACAGCGGAGGAAGCCGTGTTCAGTCTTCATCCACCTGTGATCCCTGAGAGCAACCCGACAACTGTGACATCCCTTAGCAGTTACACTCCTACCTCCATTCTGACTTTTTGTCTCTGGCCTTTTTTTCCCCCCTCAGGGGAGCAGAAATTGGTGGCATCGTGCTGTTTATTTTCCTACATCATGTTTTTTTCCAATAGAGTGAGCCAGAATACAAAGCACACTGAGAAAACGCACACAGAGAAAAGTGGAAGCACGTGGAGAGTGGAAAAAAAAACAACGCAAAATAAGAAAATGGAACCAAATACAGAAATACTGCAAGTCACAAGAAAATGAGGGTCAAATGTGTTAAGTTTCTGCTTTTTAATACACTGAATTCATGATTTTGAATGTAATCCGTAAACTGTTTTTCAGTAAAAAGCTGATGCCAGATTAAAACTTTTTTATCATTCAATCAGATTTTAAACAAAAGTTGTCATACTCATCTTATCTTTAAATACCTCAGACACAAGTTGTTTTCATTGTGACTCCCAGTATGTCTATGAGGGGTTGTGTTCTCTTAATTTGTTGTTTATTTTTGTCTAACTGATCTGCATAGGGTGACAGATTAGTGAAGATTTCTCAGTTTTTTGTGTTTTCTGAAGTTGGAGTGCAGGGGAGCGTCTTATTGTTCCCAGTTTGAATTACTTGGTAGGCATTACTTAACTGGTACTCAGTTCCATTAGAACAATCACACTGAAAGCTAATAATGTTTCTTTAATGTCTTTAATGACCATGTAGAATTAAACATTTCTTGATTATAAGTGTTAACATAACTGTTTTGTCTGAACATGAACCCATAAACGTGTTTAATATAACCTTGCTTTTATTAAACTTGTGTTTACAGGTGACAGTTGAAAGATACATTTAATGTCATTAAACATTTTTGCTGTTTTTTATTTATATACTTTTCATACCAGTTATATTTTTGTTTAAAGCTAATGTCTCTCTGTCTTTGTCTCTATGCCAACCTTTGTTTTCCATTCAAATGTGAAGGCCTCTTCTCTGTCGGCCACTATTTGTCTTCAACTTTAAAATAAGGAAATGTGAAACTGAAATTTCACCTGAGCTTCACTTAAATCCTCGATATGACCTGTTCATTATTGAATCATCTCCAATGTTGTTTACTGCTGGTTTTGAATACACATTCTTAATTGAATAAATCACATGGGACATTTTGTTCATTTTTGTGTTTGTCTGATAACTTAATGTTATATAATTTATATAAACATCATTGCCTTCCTCCTGAAACATCAATGATTGTTTAATCTGTCATAGCTTCTCTATTAAGTGTTTACAAAGTATAAGTAGACAGGCAGAGGGGGGTAGTGTGTAGGACCCTGAGGGATTTCTCAGTAAAGTATAAAGTAATAAATGAATAGTTACACTAAACACTTAAGTCTTCATTGTTTGAAGTCAACAATTAAAATGTGTCTTTGGTAAAACAGATTTAAGAGCATGTTTTAATATGATTCAAAATCTGCCTTAAATGTGTTTCAGGGAAAAACTGAAAAGAACAAAAACTGCCCACAGTGCTAAATACTTTATCAAGTGAAAGGATGAACATTTTTTATGGGACACACTTCTCTGAGTGGATTGTTCGGTATGTTAAGGTCAGAGAAGTTTTGTTGGATAATGACTCTGTCCTCTCGTCCTTGTTGCAGAATGTGAACGTGCAGCGCACCACAGAAGACGCTTTGGGAACAGTCCCACTTCACTTCTGATTTCCTGCACTTTCTTGTTCAAGCCGAGGCTTCATCGGAATTTCTGTTTGGACCCACAAACAGCATTATGGGAAAATGGTGCTGTTCAATTCACTTGTACAGAGAATTGAGTTTTTTCCCCCCAGACTTACTGTAAAGCACTTTCACTAAATGTTTTATATTTTTTTTTATAAATGTGTTCTGTTGTGATCTCTACTGCACTGCTTCTTGTACATGGAGGCCCACTGAGGAAAGCTAAAAGAACATGCCAATATCTTTACATGCGTCTAATATTATTGTATGATGAATGATTCTCCCTCAACATTTGGCATATTTTGTCCATGATCATAGTTAATACCTACTGTAAAATACATTGCACACTGTGTCGACTTTTATGTGCTTATAAAGATGTTATTTTATTAAAAAAATAATAATTCATAATCCCCATGAAAACTGTGAGGCAACTGTAAATCTTTTTGTTAAAACGCTCTTGATCAAAGTCCTCAATCATTTAATGTAATGAATGCAAGACACTAATGAAGGTTGGATATTAGCCCCCTGCTTTAAATGTGATAAGTTTATCTTCTCTGAGTGAATGAAGATCAACATTGTTCTTAAACATTCCCGAGGACAATTTCTGAGACAGCAAAGGGTGGAAACAGGCTGTAACAGCAGCAAGCACTCTTTTCTCTAAGATGTAGTGAATGTTCTGGGACCAAAAATCTTGAGATAAGGCTCTTTTTTACACAATCGTTATGTCAGAACCGAAACAATTACTGTTGGGGTTGGGCTTCGTTTTTTTTTTTTTAGATGTTCGTGACGCTGTGACTATCTTCAGTCGCATGGTGGTTACTTAATAAGCAGCAGCATTAAACTCATGAATTTCATCTTTCAAATGCCCGTTTGAGAGTTTAACAGTATTGTGAAAACTGTACCTGCATGTTTGTCTGACGTGAGTTGTGTGTGCAAAACCAACATTTACTACATGCTGTGACCCTTTTTTTTGTGAAACCTTTCTTCTTTGATAATTCTGCATTTTTTATTGTACATTTCTGTACTAAAAGTAAGATTCCAAAGGCCTTGTTTGTGTCCAGCTGTCAAGTTCAAAATAAACACTTGATGTTTGGGGTTACAACTGAGATGCTGTTTTTGCTTTGTAAAAAAAAAAAAGGGAAAAAAAAGATTACAATACAAAGCATATTTTTTATTAATTTTCACAAGTATTACAAGCCAGCATGTATATTTATTCTCATCATTTCCATTTACAATAGGGTTCGCTTTGTGTACTAACACAGGAAACATAACTCCAATTGATTGCCCTCATGGTTTCAGATCTGTTATAACAAAAAATACCTAAATTGAATGTATATGCGTATAATATACATTTTTTTTAAAAACATTTAAATACGTTTTAAAATGTCAAATTACCCTGTGCTCATAAATATTGAAAACAAAATATGGTTTGAAACAGGACCAGACCTTTTTTTGATGTTCTAATGGCAGAAACTAATGTGTATTATATACAAACATCAATACTTCAACGCAAAGGGAAAAGTAAGTTTAAAGGGCAAAACACTCGTTGGCCTGTGCATGTTTATCTGCACGTCATCAGCGTCTCTTGATTGATCCTACTTTGCCTCCTCCACCCAGTGATGTGAGCCCGCCACTGTGATGGCCACAATGCAAAAGGTTGTTTGGGTTTTCTCCCGTTCTCTCAGAACTAGGGACAACAAAGGCACAACAAAATGTTTTCAAAATAACGCAGCACAGATTTCAGCAATGAGAATGAGATTGTAGAAACTGTAGAACTTACATTTTTTAAGAACTCCTCTGCAACAATACGAGCCCTGGCGTTGACAGACAACTTCATTTCGCTGATCTCTTTGTCAATTTCCTCCATGAAATGAATAACAAAGTCCACCAGTTTATGTTTGTACATCTGCTCTGTGTGGAAGTTGGTAATGAGAAAACTGATGTCGTAGCCCTGCAAAATGAGGATGATGACAAAAGATGAGGGTCAGCTACAAGGTGTGTTTGTATGAGCTGAATACAATGAACTTTAATCAGCAACAAGTCACACCAGTGTCAACAAAAAGTTCATGTTGGTTCCACTTTTCAGTAGCTGAATAACTTCTCTATATTTGATCCTTTTTATCACCAACTTACCTCCACAGGTTTCCTCCTCAGAATGAAGAAGTTCTCTGCTCTCATCATCATGAAACGCATGAATTTATGGCACAGAATCTTTTCAATCTCATCCGCCTACAACAGCAGATTATTTCAAATGAATGACTGTAAAGTAACCATCTGTTAGTATCAGAGTCTGAATTACAATTGACCTCCTAACTGACCTGCTTGACAGCGATGCTGACTCTGACAGAGTTGATAGATCCCTCGATCAGAACCTTCTCCTTGTCGTTACGGCTGATGATCACCGGCTGGAGCAGCAACTCTTTACTGCTCCTAAAAGTGGGCATGAAGAGACGAAGGTCAGATTTCAGGCCTCGCTTGGATTAAAGTGGCCTCAGAGTCACAGGTGAAGTTGCAGTATCAAACTCACCGCACTTCCACCTCTGGCTTGTTGTGTCTCTCCACCACTTGCGAGGAGAAATTCTCCAGGCAGAGGGCGGCCTGCAGAGTAGCACGCACTGCATTTAGATAAGGACGTAAAGTTGCCGTCTGAGGGAGACAAAGAGAGAAGAGTCAATTAAACTGACTGTTGAGATGCTCTGGAGATGTACACTCTTCACTGATTTCACTGCACCTGATAACATGACGCAGAAAAGATCACTAACTACCTTAAGCCTTGACCTAGAATACTTTGGCCTTTGACACTTGCAGGTTATCTTAAAGGGCATTTACTCCATGTATCAATGGGTTTAAGTACACAGTTTAGAAACTAAAAAAGGTACATCACCAAAGCCCCCCAAAAATCTAAGGCACACAGGCTTTTGCTTTGGTTACCCCTAGAGCTGCAGTATTTCTGACCTCAGGAGACCCCCTCTAAGTACCAGCAGGCAGTCTTATTCAGCTCTCCTACCTTCATCGAGGTGTCAAACAGAGGCAGGTACTGACGTTGCCACAAAGACAGGAACAGAGAACCTATAGGTCACAATTTGTAGAAGCACATCCAGAGGCTTTGAACATATCCCATTCAGTTTAAATGTCCTCGAGGATTTCGGTCCCTGACCCACTTTAGTATGGAAAAAAGAGGTGAGACAAACTACACCTGGTTGGGTCCTGAGCTACGTCATACACAAGCTCTGACAACCCCACAGAGCTCTGCTCGATCAACACTATTGCGTTTATGTAAGAAAATGTATAGTTTGATACAATTATTTATTCATTTGTTATTTATCCATAACTGATGACGCCATACTGCATTGGGATTTGACCCTCATACCTAGTTTTACTGTAGCTTAGAAAAGAAAAACACAATACCAATACTAGAAGCATGAACTATTGCTGTTTGAGAAACACACTTTATTCAGTTGTTGATTGAACTATAATATTACCTTAGGAAATATACAACCCCATCAACATCATCTGACAGCTGCTATCAGAAAAATGGTCAGCCAGTTAGAAAAAAAATAGTAGGAGCACAGGTGGACCAAATGATGTTTATTTAAAGAGGTAATTTTAAGGGACAGAGGTTGACACAAGCCCTCATATCAGCTGGTTTCAGTGACAGCTGATGTTTTCTCTTGTTTATTCTTTTCATCACTGTATGTCTAACGACGTGTTACCATGTGTCAGGACTGTGTCAGACCTCACCCACCACCTCACCTCGGATCAGCATTGTTTATACCTTTGACTGAATATCTTCCACTTCGCATGTTTTCTTTACACCGACTAGCTCACGTTAGCCTGATGGCTAATAGCGTTCCTGCTAAGCTAGTACAAAACACAACCAGAGGAAAGCGTACGCTGTCCCATTTCTAAATGATGCAGTGTAAGACGAGCGGGAGTAATGCGTTAATGTCTATGAGGAATGAAAATGTCATAAATGGTGCTGTTAAAAAAAGGAGTTTATTTAGCATATTAGTCTGATTTCTCTTACCATTTCTCTCTGTGACGAGCGGCGGCTAAAGGCGGAAGTAGCTACGCTGTCAGTGCGCTGGTTACCTTTCCGCGAGGAGACAGGAACTCAACTCTTAACTCTATGCTGTCTCTGCAGCGGAGCATGTCAAGAGTCAAGAGAAGAAATAAATGAAAAGAGCATTGGAGACAAATCATGTTGTACCACTATGAATTGAATCAAATGGTTAACTATGTATTTATTTTTTTGTGTACTAGTCACATCAGTCTGTGGTGTTGGAGCGACCTTTTCATTTATAATTTAAGGGATTGTTTGTGTTCCAGCTCGGCTTTATTTATTATAACAATCCCAGAAACGCCCTTTCTCTTTGATTCAGAGCACTACACTATTGGTAGAACAGAAGCCTAAACATTATTTGGGAAATGGTTTCATGGTTATGTGCATAATTCACATTCAATTTATATCCGTCTCTAATATGTTGTAGAAAAATACATTAAATGACTAACCACAGGGAAATGTATCATTAAAATGGATTTAGATTCTCCAACTCTGCATGACATGGAAGACAGCTTTGGAAAAACAGCATTTAGCCTATAATGAAGAGACATAATGTGGAGGACATTACAGACGCAAGTCCTTTAGTAGTTTTAAAATGTGCACATTGGATAATTCCAATGACAGATTCAGAAAGACACCTTTTTTTTCCATGCTCTCTAGATACAAGATGTCTGATGATTACAATGTTTTTATCTATTGAAGAACTGATGATATTCTTCAAGCAGAAGATCATTGGTGTTATAAATCAAATGATTGATGCATGCAATCCATTGAACTGCTTTGGTTGGAGGGTAGTCGTCTTATGCACGCCAATTTACTTTCCTGAAGGTTCAGCTACACAAACAGGAGTCAAGCTTCACGTGTAAACACCGTCAGAGTCCTGAAGAGAGGCCTACTTGGCCAGAATAACCTGACAAGAACACCTGAAAAAAAAGAAAAAGACCCTGATATGATGTGCACACGAGGCAGTGCCTGGATGCACTACAAAAATGTACTTTCAACACAAACTTGGACACATAATCCCACACCATTGATATATTCAAGAGTTTAATTATTTGACGTCCCAGTTTTCTTGACAACATCATTGGCATCGCAGTGATTCTTTTTTTTTTTTTTCGATAAGGAGAAAGAGTTATACCAGGGCAGAAAGTTGGATTTTTCTTTAAATGGAAAGCGAGACCATCCATTTCAGTTTCATCCACCTGCCTTTTACCTTTACCATCTATACACCGTAATGCACAATCCGTTAAAAATATGAAGTACTTAGCCAACCTGAGCTACAAGCAGATAGAGAGAACAGCTATAACAGACATGACAGAAGACAGGTGTTTGCTGTGTTGGTGACACATATTGTAATTTGACAGCGTTGAAAGATGTCTGATGACGGACAGAACATTTACAGCAGTAATAGTAGCAGTACAATTAATGATACATAAAAGGCAAATATTAATATATTGAGGAATAAACCTTGTTTTACACAGTGGCTGCGTTATCGGCTTGTCTACTTTGTCAACATTTCTTCTGCAGTTAACGCAACCTTTGAGGGAAAAGGCAGTACAATCACCAAAGTGTTTGAGCGGAGATTTGACAGGGAAAACGAGTAGGGGGTTAAATTTGAAGAATACCAAAAGGCGTCTGCTAGCAGATGTTGTCCAAAATCAGTCATCCCTCTATAACATTTAAAGGCAAAAACATAAAAAGAAAGTGCAAAAAAACAAGAGAGTGTTTTAGATTGACTTGACAAATAACATCAGCCAATTAAAATATATTTTTATATATATAGTTCAACTTGATTATTTGACACATTGGCAAAAGAAAGCAAAGAGAAAGCAGAAAGAGAGAATACGATACTTGGGATGCTGACATTAGCCAACATCATCTCACATTACAGAGCATCAGCCAGTCCTATAGCGCTCTCCATTGCACTCTTTGAACATGGCTCCATTTTCCCCTTTCAGTGTGAGATGCAGGGGGCCACAGTCAGAAATGTGGGTGGGCGGGGCCAGAAGATCACTCCCTCTCAAGTCTGGGATTGTCGGGCCAGAAGGGGTGTCATTCTTCTCTCAAGCGATCTTTGGGAACGGGATTTGTCAGCGAATTTTCTTAGAGTACACTAGTGTAATAATTTGTGTGCTAAGTTTGTGTTTTTGTGTGAGGGGCGTGTACATCCATGTGCAGCATACTGCGTGAGGGGCGTTGTGGATGGAATGAAGAGTGGGGTGAAGGAGGAAGACCAGAAGGGAAGTACTTTCCCAGGGAGCAAGGTGCAGGTGATGTAACCGGTGTTTCAGAGAGCCAAGAGAGAAGATGGTCCAAGTTTTCCCTCAACAGCTGCAGCTTTCTGCTGAAGGTTTAGCTCTGTCATTCCTATCCAGTTTTATGGGCTCTGGAAATTCATTATACAGCTCCACCTCTGTCTCCTGACAATACAAAACAGAGAGAAAATAGTCAGCATGAAAAAAGACTCAAAGTCCCATTGTCTTTTATTCTGCATTTCAAGCAATGGTTACGTACCTGTTTGAGAGCGTTACGTGCAATTGTCTGGAATGCCTGTTCTACATTGATGGCTTCTTTAGCGCTGGTCTCAAAGTAAGGGATGTTGTTCTTACTCTGACACCAAGCCTGAGCCCTTTTAGTGGTTACCTGTGTGTAAGAAGAGGGAGAAATGCATTCATGTAGTGAGCTGACATGCAAACGAGGGCGCTCAGGGTTTGCTATGAAAGAAACATTTTAATTAAAGTCTGGAATATTTAACACTTTATTCTTTCTACAATTACAGTAGGCTGAGTTCATTACACACCATCAAAAATAATATTATAATAGGACATAAAAAGTTTTAGGGTAAATAATAAAAAATCCTGATGGCTCCTGAAGGTCGTGATGATCAGGGTTATATTATAGTCTGGTGGTTTCAGTTATACATTTATTATTTTATAACTGGACCAGGAGACATATTCCAAATAAAAGGTTCAATAGGACATAATGACTTTGCTGAAATCTAACTTTCATCTTCAGTCCCTTAGCATCTCCTTTGTTAAGACAAACACACTATGACCACATTGTCCCTGTTCTCCTCTTCAAAAGGCTTAGAGTCACAACTAAGCAAGAAGGTTCTAAAACTCTGATCCCTTTCTGCACAAATTGCATACGAATAATTATCCACAATTCAAAACAACATATAGCAGCATATCCTTTATAATGTTAAAAATTGTAATGACAGAAAAGCCATAAAATGTCCAATAATGGAACAATGAAAATAAAATGTGGCAAATCTTTTTTTTTATTTTTTTTGCTACTGTAGTCAAAACAGTTCAATAGAATTTAATATTAATAATATTTTATAATTTAATCAAACTTGTCAGGGCTAACTTGCATGATAGTAGTAGAGCACAGTCCATTCGTATATAACTCTGTACAATTTAGCAGCATCCGGCTGCTACATGAATTTTGTTAGGCCTGGCACACAGTAATAGATTTCAAAAATCTTAAACGATTCTTAAATGTGAGAGCCCACACATGACCACAGATCATGACAGATTTAACAGTTCAGTTTCTACAGTGTGTGGTGTGCAACGAGACGACCAACTCGGCACAACACACACACTAACCGATTTATTTACCAACAACCAGTCTCCACTATCAAATCGTGTAACCTTGCGCAGTCAAATGCAACACAGGTGTAAACAAACACAAAGGACAAGCTAAATGTGGCTAGATGTTAGCTGGTACATCCAGTACAGTGAACATTTAGGTCCAACTCCTTTCCTTGTCAGTGGGATTGTTTTACGGGACACGGTGTGTAAACACTTGTGTTGTTGCCACAAATCACCAAGTTGGTCCTGATTTTAAAACATCCATCTAACTTTAAGCTTTGTGTTTGCTGTTGTTGCCATGGTTATTTTTGTTGTGCTTCCTGCTTCAGTCAGCTTGCTTCCCTAGTTCCAATTTTTCCGTTCCACGCGACAATTCAAAGAGTCCGGGCTCGGCCGTCTTCGTTGCTCTACCCACACAACAGGACTCCTAACCATAAATATTGAACATGTTCAATAAATATTGAACTGAAATATTGAACTGAACTGTTCAATATTTATGATTTCAAATCTGGGCAGCCCCAATCATCTTCAGAGCATATTGGGAAGTGTAAAACCACTCCTAACACACCTCACACCACAGGAACATCCGACAAGATAATCTTTAAAACCATCAGGTAATCATACCTTTGCTGTCTTTGGTCGGAAGAAAGGAATCTGGCCCAAAATCTGCCCGATTATCTTGTAGTGTGTAACCTGTTCTAGCAGATCTCCCTCTCTCTCTCTCACTTGCTCTTTCTGCCTGCCTTGCTGGTGGCCCATGGTGCAACAGCTGTGCAGCACACCACATCAGTTGCCACAGTTGGTGTGCATGTTTGGTGCATCATTTGGTGGGAGGAGGCGCTTAGCGGAGAGATTTGAGGTAGCAGAGGAAGAGGTGGGAGGTTTCTTTCATTGAAATTTCATGTTGTTTTATGCCACTAAAAATGTTTCTAGCAAAAGCAGTGGGAAATTATTCATTCCATTGAAGTATTATGTTAATTTGTTTGCATTGTTTGTTTGTTTGATCTATACCTTTAAAAGTATGACCACAGATACGTATGGGATGTGATTAAGTACAAAAATGCAGGAAATTATACAGAGCAACTCTCAAAACTCTCAGACTTGATTGACCTCATTGCTGGCTAAAGCTATGGTTACTAAGAGAGGCAGAACCGAGGCGCCTTTGTAAACCTGCTTAAAGTTTTACCCCAAATCACATCAGCAACACTTCCTGTTGGGCATTTGTGCTGGTTATTATGGTAACGTCAATTCTTTTAGGGCTTAGTCCGTCTGTTTACTAGCCAACGCACACAGTGGCAGCCATAGTGCTGTTGTTGTTGTTGTTGCAATTTAACACCACTCACAACCAAATATGATTAACATGAGTGAAAAAGCAATAGCTGTTTGTGATGAAAACAGGACACTGACACTTAAGTGCTGCATGGGTAACCATGTAAGAAACAATCGTGGAGGAATTTATACCAACCTGTCTGTTCTCCAAGTCAATCTTGTTGCCTAGCACCACGAAGGGGAAGTTCTCAGGATCACGAGGGCTGGCCTGGATCAGAAACTCGTCTCTCCAGCTGTCGAGCGTCTTGAAGGTGTTGGGTGCAGTCACATCAAACACCAGCACACAGCAGTCGGCTCCACGGTAGAACGCGACACCCAGAGACTGGAACCTCTCCTGGCCAGCGGTGTCCCAGATCTACACAACCACAACGAGACAAAATGTTCCGTAAATAGACAACATAACAGGAGATATGAGAAGTCATTCTAGTTAACGCTAAAAATAATGCCCTTTAAATACTCAAACAATATAAATTGTCCTTCTAAAGGATGAGGGGTGTGAAGAATGACTATCCCAAAACAGTGACTGATCTTGATGTGAAAGATATGAGTACATTGAAGTCGGCAGGTGATGGGTAAGAATGTAAAACGTACTGATTGATGGTCCAAATCAAAGTTATGAGCTAGTTTACTGATGTTTTGCTGCTTGTTCTGAAAACAGTGTTCACTGTCCTGAATTTTGCAAGACTCTGACATTGACCTTTAACATTTAAAGAGAATCAAGATAGCTAGCTGGCTTGCTGGTTAGTGGTGGGTGGCTTGCATGCAGAAACTAAACATGTCTGAGATCACTGAAGTGATTTATAGTTCTCCACCTCACAAATGGAGTCCAAAAGTCAGCCTTTCTGAATGCCAAACCTCACCTGATGAAACAGCATGATAAAACCAGGATTAAGATGCTCTAGCTAGCAGCACAAGCCGACCAGGATATTAAACACTTTTTCCAGCCACAAGTCAGCAAAGTCTTTGTTTTCATCGAGGTATCTGTAGTCTTCTGTGCTGCTTATAGTGGTGAAAAGGATCACAGTTGATCAGATCAATGGAAAATGCATCACAATGGTGTAAAACAAACATACTGCTGCTAAATCCCTGCGTGGAGTCTCTGTGAAGAGAAGGCAGCGTTTAAGAAGTGTGTGCAGGCACAGTGGAGATCTGCTGTACCAATAGAAAGACAATGTAGCTCTTAAAATGTTTTTTTGTACCGCAAGTTATTCGCAGGTATCTCAGACACTTAACATTACTAATGTAGAGCCTGCTGTCGTCTGTAGCAGTAAACTTAGCCAAATGGAATCCCTTACAGTGCACTTTGTTCGGTCCAAAAACCTAAGATTTATGACTTAAATGCACACGGCCCCTTCGTTGTTTCGTCACACGGTTTGTGCTGCATGTGCAGCCAGTGCACAAACACACACAACCGCTTAATGAACAGTTTGTGTTTGTTATATGTTCAACATTTTCAACGAGAAAATATATATTTCTTGTAGATTACAGCGAACTGGTTAGTCACATGAAGATGTCAAATTATTGTTTGTAGGTTGATGTTCTTTGTTGTGAGGAAACAAATACTGTGTTTGAAATTAGTAAGCTTTTTATTTTACAGTCTGTTGTACTCAGACTTTTAAAAGCACTTTCTTAATAAAAGGAGTTCAGGTTCATCTAGCTTGTATTATTATTATTTCAAATTGTAGCAATTTGATACAATTTTAAAATTCATGGATATACATTTTGATCTGCAGTGCTGTTAAAATGAATCTGTTGTAATCCTAGCTAGCTGAGGAGAAGAAAAGTATTATTACACTATTTTTAAGGCTATCCAATGAAGGATCAGATCTGTGACTAAAATCAGCGATCAGATCTGAACTGTGAGATTAGTGATATCTTACACCACTGTTCATGTTTGTGACCTTTACTTGTGGTTGAGAGTGATGACTTTGATTACAAGACCACAAGAAGACAGCCTTTCACTGTTGCGTGCCAGCAATGTCTATCAATTTAAGAAGAAAGTGCTTTTTTAAAATCTGTGTACAACAGACGGTAGAATATAAATACATCAACATCACAAACAGGGTTTAGAAATATTTTTTTGAATAACAAGCTCGTTGTTATTTACTAAACCACATCTCTCACATGAGCTTTGGTGTGATAAAGACTTCAGTTCATACACGTGATGTCAAATGTTCATATTCCCAGCAGACCTCATTTTTTGTCTCTTAGAGAAGTAATAAACACAGAGACACTTAATTTTGTTTTTCCTATTTTTTTCTCAGTTATTTGGGGAAAAAAATGCTTTTAATTCAGCTATCAATGAGCCACGGCCTGAATTGAATAATACAGAATCTGTTTTAATGAATCGTCTATGAATTGGATTGTAGCCTAGAAATCAAGATTTAACTCTGACGTTCTTGTGAAGGAGAATCTACCCAGGATGTGACCCTTTAAGTTGTATGTGCTCTGTACCTGCATGGTAACAAGCCGGTCATCCACCATCACCTCCTTGGTCAGGAAGTCTGCTCCTATTGTAGCTTTGTACTGGTTACTAAACTTCTTGTTCACATACTGGTTCATTAGGGAGGTTTTCCCGACACTGAGAGCAGAGGAAAACAGACAGAAAGATATCAGATTCTATATTAAAGACAAAGAGCAGATAACTGATAGGTAGTATGACACATGCAGTAAAAAGATTTATGAAGAGCTGATTCAGCTATCGGTGTAATCTAGACCTTATTTACTCCAAACTATATCTGATCGATTAAACCAACTCCTTCCAAGTGGAACTACTGAAGAATATAGGACTGATGCAAACATTTTTTATCCAGTTGACAGAAGCATGTGTCTGTAGTGTAATAAACTCTGGACTTTATCTGAATATAAAAAGGGCCTAAAAGGGGTCCAATATCTCGAAAAATGTCTTGATCCTGTCTGATATCTTGGTTCATTTTGTTCCGTAATTTATGGTGACTTCATGTTTCCTTTCTGTAATCAGAAAGCATTGTGACAGACTCAATAATGCAATATTCTGACTTTGTTTCGCTGTTGGAAAAGTGGACATCTCCAACTGCCTTGCAGTCAGATTGATATTGCTATTGATTGTTTTTGTTTTCAATATGTGATAAAGATTTTAACCTTTTCACCACAATTTAACACAGCTAAATGTTTTGACAAAGGAAGGATATAAATTTCTGCAGAATACTTAGTGTGCAAAATATTCTGCACATAATGATGTTACAACTTTTAACAGACAATTTTGTGCCATACTTAGAAAGAACATACATAATGTGATAAAGTCTCATAAGTCTGCAGATACATAGCAGGAAGGCTGTATAATTCAGGAGCATAGTTCTGCCTAGAGACAGCTGATAATGTATTAATGCCTGCTAACAAGGAAGTACCACTGATACAAATCCTCTTCAATGATTCTAAACACTTAACAATTTTTGAAAGATGCCTGACTCAGTCATTACTCATGCGAACTGATTATTTCTTACCCTGCATTTCTGGTTTTAACATGTAGCAGAGAAATATGCCAAGATGTGACTCACCCGGAATCTCCCAGGATGATGACTTTCAAGAGCACTTTCTTCCGAGATGTCATTTTTCCACGGCTGCAGAAAGACAAAGAGCAACAACTTCAGCACACAGAGAGACACAGCACCACACGCCTCCCTGACCTCTTCATCGCTACGACCTTATCACCAGCTTCCTACTGGTCAGAGAACATATGATCAATGCAAAAGGTAAATATATTTGCATTGCAGACAGGCCCTTTGGAAAAAATTAGCCCAAAAGTTTGTTCGTGTGTATAAAGACTCATGGCCCTTGGACCAATCAGGTTTGAATACCACTCATTCCAGTCATGTGCTTTCTAAGCTGTTGAGCAAATCACGAGGAACACATCATTCTTTCTCTCTCACGAAGCACAGAAGTTTCCTCCTAGAGGTCTCAACCACTCTCAGTATTGCACAAATTAAGTGACACATCTGGCAGTTTTTTTTTTGATGATGATATATGTAATAAATATATAAAGGAAACACACCATGGAGTTTACTTACACATCATATAATAACTTGAGCTTGCAAGATGGAGGCAGAGATTTGGTTGTGAGTGAGTGAGGTAAATTTAAGCTAAAACTGTTGTTAATGATTTTGTAACGTGTAGTTCCTTGACACTCAAATGTAAAGTGAACCATGAACCAAATTAAGTAAATCAGATCCTACTATTAAAGAACACATGAATGATTGTTTTACACATTTTGAAATTGAAGTTTCATTCAAACATCATTTCACAAAAAATCTGGTAGTTTACAGTGCACATTTTGAAACGGCAGAAAGAAGCCATTACTTGTACACTACTACTCCTTGACTAATATGATCTGTCTGTTGGATATTAAGAATGACATAAGGTCGAACAAAGTATTGGAAGCAATCCTCTCTCTTTATCCCACCGACCATTCAGAATTGTATTACGGTGAAAATCAAACATAACGACTCAATATTTAACGGAGGAAACTCTGATAAGAAAAATGAACTTTGGGACAGTAAAAGAAAGAAAAGTAATTTGGTTCTGATAGTGTTATCTGAAACCCTCTCCAAGTAAATAGACCAAAAAGACTAAAATAAACCTTGATTTCTAAGGAGGCTGCTTTATCTTTTGACACACATTCATCTTATCAGTGCTACATAAACAGTCCAGCACAGCACTATTGACAGGAAAGAAAACATTTTTCTGTGGTTAAATGAAGACATTCATGCTCTCAGTGAGACTGTCAGCTTTCACAGATGCTTGGTGTGAATTCGGCTTCTATGATTGAGCTACTTCATACCACTAAGGATGATCTGACAATTTACAAAACTGATATTTGAGAATGCACAAAATATAGAATTCAAAAGAATAAAGTTGTAGAAATGTGTAAGGGTGGGAATCACCAGAGGCCCCAAGATACTTTAGTCATTATTATATACTTCAGATTATTGCAATTTTAAACATTTTGCAATATGCTGAGAATTGTGATACAATATATTGCGATTGAGATATTTTAACTGCTTATTTTGTCCACAAAATTAAAATAAATCAAAAACAGTTTTGTCAAATAAGAAAACATTCTCATTCTAATCATCTCACTTCAGTCTTCTTATTTCCACACAATGGGAGTCAAGCCCCCAGACAGATCAACACTGATCAAAGTAAAAGCCTGTCAAAGGCTGCATGCAGCTAACAATCTGAACTGTTAGTATTTCAGTCCAATCAAACTTGAACATGATTTTTCAACAATGCAACTTGTTCAAAATGAATTGTGAAACTCCTTCAGCAATAAAAATAAAAAAAGATTTAAAAGCATATTTAATATAATATAATAAAAATATTGATACTTGGCAGCCACTAGACAATATAATATCGCCACACAAAATATCACAATACTATGCTGTATCAATTCTGTTCCCCCCACCTCTAGAAATGTGTGGATTTGATAATGTTTGCTGTTTGTGCACAAACCTTGTTCCTATCCAACCTGCTCCTTTACGGTAAAAAACATGACTTTCATCATTTTCTGACAGTTAATCACAGTAACATGTCATGTAATAGAAAACCAAAATCCAATCATGAGCTCCTCATGAACATCAGCATCTAACATACACAAACCCATTTTTGTTCCAACTCAATTATGAAACCAAATAATTCCTACCATTACGAATAAAAAAATCAAAACATTGAGCTTTTAAATGACTCTGAATGTTGAAACTGTGCTTAAAACACAAACACTTGAGTTACCATCAGGAACTGGAAAGCACACTTGTTTCTCAATAGAACGAGCACAGCACTTGAGATCCCGACATACTGTGAAGCACAGAGAAGCCGACACCAGCATGAACTACAGAACAACACTGATGACTGGGCATGCTCAGACCAAAATATGGATCAAAAGAACCTCGAATCAGATCGGTAACCTTTGACAAACAGCTGAGTGGTAAGATATCGAGACAATTAAGATTTTTGTCTCTGACAAGAGGTTCAGTCTGATTTATTCTGGGAGTATTTCTTTCCATACAATTCTTTAAAAAAAACTATGACGAGTTTTATAAAACATCTGCAGATGTGTGGAAATCTAAAATCAAGAAGCATTACATTTGTTTGAATTGACTTTGAAGAAATATGTATATTAATATATATATATATATAAAATATATTATTATTTGGAATTATTGGATCTCATTTTTGTCATTATCCTGTTGAAATAAATAAGTTCTACTGGTTAAAGGCGTCAGATGTGAGGTAAAGGCAAAAAACAAAGAAACCTTTTATAACACAGTGTTTCCACTAGGTTTACAGCGTTGGGGGGGAACACGCCGATATGCCGACACGCTGACACAAACACTTGAAGGAGTCTTTGTGTTTATGTGTTACTTTTAATGACAGCTGTCCTTTTCTATCGAAAAGGTATCCTTAAATGACTTGTTTCCCTGAATTCCAACTCTATCTACTATCCTATCTCTACAATAAAAGGCACAAAAAGCCCAAAAATAAATCTTTAAAAAAAATAAAAATAAATGTTTTTACTTGACCTTCAAGGAGGCCGTTGGGGGGGGCTGCCCCCCTAATATAATGGTAGGAGAAACACTGTAACACATTTATGCATTTAAAAAATCTGGAAATGTAGTGTTGCACAGATAACTATTGCTAAACTATTTTTTATCTCCAAAGGGAAAGTTGATCCATCTTTTTCAGGTCTAAGTTCATGTTTGATGCAATCTAACAAACTTTATGAACGACAGCATTATGGAATCCCTTAAACTGATACAGTTAGACTTTAACCGATATCACACTGAAGTCATTTTCAGTGTGCCACGGACTTCTGTTTTTTCATGATTTGATCCTGCAACCGTGAGCACCTGGGAGCGTGTTTAGGCTGTGCACGGGTTACCCTGTTGACCATAGACCTACAAGAACATACTCACTGTGGCAACTAAACACCAGTGCAGTAATTACTTTAAGAATCTGATATATAGAAGTGTGATAAACACTGTGCTGCTGAGACTAAATAAAAAGTGTTCAAATCACTTTAAGAAGTTAGATCTATCCACAGATCACCTCTGATTTAAACCAGAATACACAAGCAAGAACCCAACCCGTGGAGTGTATAACCCATCTGAACATGTCTAGAGAGGTTAGACATTTTTATGTTTAGCTATCTGATGTGCATCTTGGTAACTGTGCATGTGAAGAACTGTCGGTTCAGTGGCCCAGGTTTAACACACGCACACACACACACACATAAGTACTGTCAACTTAAGTAAATTAAAAGTATGGACAGCATTAAACAAATCATTCAAATTAAATGAATTATGTGATTAAGTTAGATATTGTAGGGTTATTAGCAGATCAGTGGCAGGTAGGCAAAAAAGTAAATTTCCAACGCTGTAGCAGATACACCATCATTTACAGTTAAAGATTTAAAATCGTATCTACATTTACTGAGAAATATATTTAACCCACTTATGTGTTTATTCAGGATTGTGATGAAAGGTAGACCGATGGTTTCCTGACCTACCATTTTTCCCCACACGAGCTCACAGACAACATTCAACTGCAAAACACTCAAGGAGTCAGTGCCGCAGAACAAACTGGAAGGTACACTGTGCAGCGTAAAATTAGATCCAGCTGTGTATGCTACAATGTAAGCTGTGAGGAAAATGTGCAGGCTGTGTTAAACCATAAAAGCCCACATGAACCGAAGCTATGTTGAGAAACTGTATTCAAAGACTCAGCCCGTTCATGCAAACTCATAGGATATGAGTAAATCTCAAATTAGAGCCGGTCAGAGTACAGCACAGGTACCTCAGAGTCAAGTTAAGACTTGAATTTCAATTAACTTGAGGGATGGTTTACAGAGTGCAAAATACAACAAAATGGAGAATAAACAAGTCGCAGTCTTCATACTGTTGTAAAATTATGATGAATTAAATCTTTAAAACAAAACATAGAAGGTATAGAAGTTGTATAACAGTGTCACAAATATCTGTGCTTGATTTGGAAAGCCAAGGGCTTCAGGACTTTAATTATTAAGAATGCAATAGATTACAGGTTACACTTCATCCCAGGAGGGTTTTTTATCTTTTGGGCGTTGTAGGCAGAGCAGTTTGTTATTTAAGTGCCAACAGTACGACATGTACCTGCGTGACCTGTGAGTCACAAGCGAAACAAAAACTAGATAACATGGGAAAACACATGACCATCTTAGTCATATGTGAAGCTGGCAACACGAACAGCTGTAAAGTATACATGTAATAAAACTCACAAACCCCCCCCCCCATCTGCCCCATGCTTCCCTACTAACATAAACACAACATATAAAGTTTTATATAAACACATATGTTTACTGTAAAGAAAGCTTGTATCGATGCTTTGTCTCCACTGTAGTCCTTGTTTGTCTCCCAGAGGAGCCACAGGCCTTGTTTTTGCCAAGTAGCTTCTCGAAAATTATTGCATCACAATTAACCATTATAGTGTTTGTTTAATGTAATTCAGCACACACTGATGAGTGGTCCAACATAATATATATGTACACACTACTGTCGTTTCGAAACTTACCTTGAACGTGTAGCACACAGGGGCACCGACTTCTTAAAGAGCTGTTATTGTTCAGGACAGTCAGCGTACGAGGCTGACTAGGCGTTAGCTAGCTAGCGAGCTAGCTCTCCAGTACAGAGTAAGACACCGTTAATTTAACAATGTCGTTTTGAATTCGTAGAAAGGCGTGTCGTGAGTCGTTACGCGAATAATTATTAAAAAAAAGAAATGTCACGAAATGACAAAGTAGGTCCTTTCCAATTGGGATGTTAATTTGGTACTTTCCTTGAAGGGTTGTCTGCCAGCGAGCTAAATATCTGCAACCCCCAACCTCTGTTCCCCTTTCACTTCCTCCTCCAAAACCACGCATGCGTCCTACGTCAGACGCAGCTCCATAACTCCAGCCCTCTTGTAAATTATTTCTTCATCACAGACTATTTAGGAATCAGGGTAGATTGCATTTTTGGTCTCAGGATTTTCAGGATTTCAGGTCAGGATTCAGAACAATTCATATGAAAAATAGATCATGTAGGTCTAATATGAGTATTGGTATGGCGATTTACTGTTGTTTGGTCTGTGAACATAACGGGTATGAAAGTGCAACTCCATAGATTAAGTATTTTAACACATAAATAGGCTATAAGGGATCCGAACATGAAAGATTAAAAATAATAGTCCGAATCAAAGCTGCATAGAGGAAAAAATGATTAGGCATGAGTTTAAAAAAATAATGCCCTGCAGCTGCAGGCTATTATTCTTGTGGAAAAAAAAACAGGTCATGCTTTTTGAAAAGACAGAGATAACCCTGACAACATTATCATGGTTATCAGGCTTTGTGAGAGTCGTAGGCTACTCTTCATAACTTTAAACTTTGTTCTCCTTTGAAAGTATGTGTTCAAGGTATCATTTGAACGGAAGTTGAGAAAATAGTCTCAAAGTCCACTAAGTGGCCTTTCTTAAGCTTTTGATCACATTATCCCATCCCCAGGTGAAGATTAATGTTGTGATTAAAGAGAAGTAGTGAAAGATATTGATTTTTTTTTTCCAGCTCTCTTATGTAATGAGTCTTGTGATGTTTACAAGTGTAACTAAACTGCTCTTGGTGGCCTTTTCTTCTTCTTCGATTGATGAAGCGTCAATCCACCACTAGAGGGCAGTCTCAACTCGTTTAAAATGAATGAACCAAATCTTACTGGAGCTCCTTGACATAAGCCCACACTTGTGTTTCAAACACTCAGTGGTGTTGGTTTTGTCCAGGGAGAGTGTGAAGGTCACAGATAAGTGAGCAATCTGCTGTTGTTGTCCATTTTACAGCATGTAAGTGTCCATGAGATGAGAGAAAATATGTTCCTGCCTGTGTGCGTGTGTGTGTGTGTGTGTGTGTGTGTGTGTGTGTGTGTCTGTGTGCGTGTGCGTGTGTGTGTGTTAGAGCATATTGTAACACAAGACTGACAAAATATTGAATTTCTGAAAACATAGACTCACCCAAACTTCCTAAAGAAATGTGATTCATGGTTAATGAGGTATACCATATGTTGCACAACAATATGCACATACAATATTATTTTCTGTTCGAGTGACAGCTGCTGTACATCTACATCAGATCTGATCTCTAAAATAATTTGAGTGATAGTAAGAAAACAAGTGTATGTGGTTTAGATGGAGCTACATTAACCTGATCTGTAAAACCTCAATAGCCAAATGTATTTGTTTTGCCTCGCTTATCTTACGTGCAGAGAATATTGTACTGTCCTGTACCTGACTTTTTTATTATGTCTTATCACTCATGAAGAGTGAAAGGCTTTGAAAGCTCGTGACCCTGATGAAGGCCACAAGCCGAAACGCGTCGGTCTAATTTGTTAATAAAGTTGATAATCGTACTACAAGTGTTGCTGGAGCTTTTGGACCTTTTATTCAATTTTAAAGAAAGCTTTTGTCAAACAGGAAATAACAGACTAGAAACACTCATACACACTAAATGATATGCAGTCCTTTTTACGTTGTTCATTGAATAACTTCAGAAGAATCAGTTGTAATTTAAGTTTTTAACAAATTCAGATATAGCATCTGCTTCAATAAGAATTTACTCAATGAATGATTGGTCACAAAAAAATTAACTTGAGTCTTCTTGCGTTCTTTAAAACTCAAAGAATCCTATTTCTTTAACCAGAGCTGCCACTTGCAACCTATCTTTCCTGACTGATCTTTTTTTCTGCATGTTCATGAGTTAGTGTGTCTCCTTGTGTGCGTGTTTGTGCTTCTTGTTAGTGGGAGTGTGCCTCTGCAGAATCCTGATGACTGGATGTTTATAGAGGAATTCCTGCCTTCTCGCCCCTATTGAATGTAGTGCCTTTATGGCCTCTGTGGAACTCCGTTTGTAAACACAAATTCTGCAACACAAAAGAACAGGAGTGACAAAATGGCACACAGGATGGAAGGAGCTGCATACTTGAAGCATCTGCTGCATTTTCATCTCAACAAACACTGACACGTATGCATGTTGACAGGTATGGGTAAGGGGAGGTTAAAGTCTGTTAAGAGTGTGTATTGGGGTTCAAAAGAGGAACCATAAGGGACTGTAGCACATAGTGTGTAGAAAATACAGTGTGGGACAGGTAAAAATGACAGACAGAGCTCAAGCACAGCGTTATATAAAATTGAGCTCTAAAAGTCTGAGTGATACATGCAAAATGTTGCACTGCACCTCAGTTCAATTCAGTGATAATTATTTTAAAGTCTGGGTGCCCGTATGTGTGTGTGAGTCGTGTGTATGTGTGTGTATTTAAACATGCACCTCTATGGCTGCGTGGGAGAAGAGGAAGAGAATGAGATGAGTTAATGGGATGGATAGATAGTGGTGTCTGTGTGTGTGTGTGTGTGTGCGCGTGTGTGTCTGTGTGTGTTTGTGTTTGTGTGTGTGTGTGTGTGTTGTGTGTGTGTGTGTGTGTGTGTGTGTGTGTGCATGCATGCATGCATCAGGGGGTGGGTGCATTAGTCCGTGTCAGACAGCAAAGAGTGCTGCAGTTATCTAGGAATCTGAGCCAAAGCGACCTCACCAACAGAGAGAGAGCAGAAGGAAGAGAAGAACCAGGAGTAAGGTGAACTGAGCAAAAAAAAAAGAAGAAGATGAAAGACAAGTAGAAAAAGAAGACAGACGACGATAACACCAAAGATCTTAATAAAAAGAACAGGTCTTGCCACCTGAATAGGCAGTTATAGAGCTACAAAGCAAAGAGAAAGTTTGCTGAGAATCCTCAACAACAGAAAAGAGAGAGGACAAAAACCTTGCAGCTCAGTGGAAGGAAGCTCTCCTCCTGCAGAAAAACTTGGGACCATTGCTCAAGAGTTTAAAAAAAGCCTGTGTCTTTGAATATCCCCATGATAGCATTTGGTTCTCTCGGCTTGTTCACTCTGCTGTCTCTCTATGTGGGAGCTTTGCTGTCCTCAGATGCTTCTCCGGCCTGCACAAGCCCTCCCTGCAGGGACACTCTGGTGGCTGTGCCCATCCAGCCAGCAATGGGAGCAGGAGTCAGCACTGGTGCCTGTGAGGGTCAAACTGGGTCATCAGCCTGCAGGATGGGGTTCTCCCTCCCAGCTATCTCCAATGCACCTCAGAGGTTGGAGCACAGGCATGAATTTCCCCAGGTTCTGCCAAAGGTAAGATGCATCAGCTACAGCACATCTGTCCAAGTTAGACTTACTGATCCTTGCTTACATAACCTAAATCAAAATGTTATTCTTTTAAAAAGCCATATAATGCAATCTTTAAATTAAAAACAAAATTTCAGCCATGTAACAGCGAGGGAAGTTAGGAAAAAATATAAGTAAGAACAAGAGCTGATCTCTGGTTGTTTATTGCACATGCACAGTGAGACTGAGCAGTGTCATCAGTCTGAGGCCAGCAGGTCCTTCCTCATGGGACAGTCGGCACACTAAACTTGGCACCACCTGGCAGTCATGGAGCAATAACAGTCAGAAATCAAAGAAGGGACAAAATTAGGCCTGCTTTAAAAGTGTCCTCATCATATGGTTGTTCTGAGCTCATGCAGCAACAGGTGTGTGAGGGAGACTATTACAAAGGCTGATGTAAGTGTAAGAGACAGGTTGAGTGTGACAGTAGACACTGTGCTGTGAGGTTTGTGATTTGGAGATCTTTCAAACTCGATGCAAGATTATATACATATAGGTTCTGTTTCAGTACTCAAACGCATTTCATTCATGTTTACTCAACAAAATGTATAGATATGATAAGCAAAAGGTCATTCATCATATCCACAAGGTGGCCATTTTTCCTATGACATCACACTCAGGGTGGGGATATTAAGTATTTTTTTTAATGTCATATTGTTTGGTAGCAAATCATATATATTTAGGGCATCTATGTAATCATCATCAATGTAGCACTTTTCATTTAATCAAGAGTAAAGACTGGATTGTGAAAATACAGAGGATCTTGGGACTATATTTAAATTTCTAACACCATACAGTAATTGGTACTGTAGGTCAGACAAAAACTCACATTAGCCTTTAAACACTTACTAGATAATATTACTGTGAGCCAGGAAGTAGCTGAAAGGAAACATTAACATTTGTTTGTGTTACATAACTCAGTGATAGACGTAAACTCCTGGCTAACACAATGTAAGCAATGTACAGTTTTATATGTTAAGCTTAATGGGTTATCAAATAATATTTGATATGTTATTTAACTTTGAAATATCTCCCAATGAACCTCAAGATGTCCATAGTGAGTGGTTATAGGTAACTCCTCTTACAGTTGTCAGATATCCTGCAATTATACTTCATAAGTTTCCCATCATGTCAAATTAAAATGGGGTTAGGATTCCTTTGTGTGTAATGCATGACACAATATCTTATAGAGAAGTACCTTTGAGCACTTTCTTGGCAGACTGGAGGTGTGAGAGAGCGTCTCGTTCAGCTGCAGCGCTGCATGCGCTCCCTACAGGAAACAGGGGGCCCCTGGAGTTACGGGGGCCAGGACAGCAACTCTCTAGGGGCCATCCTGGCTCTGATGGCAGCTGTACTGACGGAGTGTGACCTCCACTGTCACAGCCAGACTCTTGGGGTGATGGCCAAACGACTGGGTGAGTAATACACATTTATATCTACCATCTCTGCAACACACAGACGAATACACACAGACACACGAACTCACATGCAAAATGCCAGGGCAGTCACTCCCCCACACATAGTAAACAGAACCTCACTGAGGCCTGCTAAGTGTTGGTCATAGGTGAGTGCATAGGAATTTAACTGCACTGAGGAGGATGAGCCTCCTGTGTAGATGCACAGACAGCCACACATACAGTATGGAATGGATCCCGATGTGTAGAAGCTTTAAAGATTCATGATCTAAACTGGCCCCCCTTCGTGTGGTTTAGAAACACAAAGCTTCTATTTTAAACCCCTGACAACACACTGATAACCTAATCTGTCTCTGGGGTGACAGAGAGTGCAGCCGTGGGAAGAGAGGGGGAGAAAGATCTGCTGCTTTTCCTGAAGAGCATTACACAACATCCACCCACAGGTAAGGAAACAGTGATCACATGATACAATTGTTGTTGATTATTGGTTAAATAAAGATGCCCTGGTGTGGTTATTAGTCCCCCCTCTGGAGAGGTTACATCCACAGGACTGTGCAGAGATTTACAAGCTCGGCATCAAAGAAAATGGCATCTACACTATCCAGCCGGACTTGCACCGACCAGCTTTGGAGGTATTTCAGCTTTACCACACTCATAAAATACACAGGCGGACCCCCACCCTACTTATCCTGTTTTAGAGGTGTGCATCTTTGATCTATCTGTGGATCATTAAAATCTAGGCTTTATAATATCTTTGTTTTGGCTCAGGCTAAATGTGACATGGAGACAGTGGGTGGGGGATGGACAGTGATCCAGAATCGGCAGGACGGCTCACTGGACTTCAACAAGACATGGCAGGAATACCGGGAGGGCTTTGGCAGTCCGCAGGGAGAGCTGTGGCTGGGAAACGCAGCACTTTACGCCCTCACCTCCAATGGCCAACACCAAGTTCGCATCGAGCTGGAGGACTGGCACCAGCAGAAGCGCCACGCCAACTACAACAACTTCAAAGTGGCCTCAGAGGCACAGAGGTGAAGCACAGTGCAGAGGCTCATACTCTTAAACAACACTTAAAGCCAATACTGTGCATAAGAAGTGGATGAAGTCTCTTTGTCTCAAAAGTGAAGCCTGTAAGGAAGTTACATGAATCTGCATTCTTTCTAGCGGCCAGCAGGGCGTAAATGCATTGCCGTCAAAAGAGATCAATTGTTTGAATGGAAGATGAGAAAATGATCCTATTCTCCTCCGATTTATTCTTCACCAAGCAGAGATATGTTTCAGTCACTTGTTTCAAGTCTTCTTCAACCCAGCATGATCTTTATTAAGTCAACAGCGGTCCCCTTAGGAGTGAAATAGACAAAGTGTTGTATGCTCAAGAGCATGATTGATTGTCAAGTCACTTCTAGAGACCTAAAGACATTATGACATATGAACACACACTTGTAAAGTTTTTCAGTAATAAGATACCAAGCTTTTAAAATTTGATTATCCATGAAAAAAAAAGAAAAGAAAACTGGGCCTGAAATGTTTCGTTTGCCCTCTCCCACAGGATAACATGACGTGTAAATGGTCTAGGTTTAGTGTTTTTCCAGTTGGCTCAATGCACGCATGGTTTTGTGTATGATGTTATTTGTATTTACTTGGCTCTGCAGTATACACTGACACAAATGCTATCGACTTGGATGTAAAGAACAACCCTGCCAACTAAAATGAGTAACATGTTGCTTCCCTGTCTTCAGGTATCGTCTGACAGCGCGGGAGTACTCCGGTGATGCAGGCAATGCTTTGAGCTACAGCAAACGTTACAACCATGATGGCAGATCTTTCAGTACTGCTGACCGAGACAACGACCGTTACGTAGCCGGGAACTGTGGTCAGTACTATGGTGCAGGATGGTGGTTTGATGCATGCCTGGCAGCAAACCTGAATGGACGGTATTACCCTGGGCGCTACAATGGGGTGACCAACGGTATCTACTGGGGTACATGGTACATCCTGACAGATGGCCGAACAGGAGAGCGCTACTCCTTTAAGAGGGTGGAGATGAAGACAAGACCCAGGAACTTTGCAGGAACAGCCTAAAGATGATGACCACATGTCACAGCACCATCCTCTAAAGTACAATAACAGCATGTCAGCTACAGTTTGGCCCTGGCTTTTTCTTTGAAGGATGTTTTTCCTCAATGTAAGGTAGCTTTAAGTCAATAACATGCACATGGCAGCTAAAAGATTACAGAATAAAATATATTTAAAAAGAATCATATCCAAGCACTCACTGGAACTCCATACGACTCTGTAATATTCTCTGTTTATTAAAGGGCTGTTCTTTTGCAAAACCAAATTGAAACCATTACTCAGAACAATGACGCATAATAGATAATACTGCTTGTTGAAGTTGTTGTTATAATACATTTCCAGAATATTTGATTTACTTTATAAAAGAACATTTCATGATAAAAATTAATAACCAGCATGGGTGAGGCATGTAGTCCAGGACCCGGACTCGAGTCCAACACCAGCTCTGATGTTCAGGACTTGTGACTTGTCTCTGACTCGTGCACTGATGACATCAACTTGGACTTCATAATTAAAATTCCAGCTCATTCAGAATCCAGTATTAACTTTTTCTATATGTCCAAATGGTCCCACAAAGTCAGTCGAGGTTCATAGAGTGAAACATAATCAGCGGTGCTCCTCCTTATAAATCTAGAGATCCATCAGAGCTGCGTTCAACATTTTATTTTAGATGCTTACAGTTCATCATTCCTCTCTGGAGATCTGGAGAGTTTCCTCTGCTTTGGCAACTTGCAAAGTTTCTGATATTTGCTGCTGCGATATCACTGCTCACATGGAAACATTTACAGCTCCTGTAAACAGCTTCTCTAATCTTTGAAAGTGAATTCATGTCAATACAACACTATAAAATCACCTGACATTTTGCAATGCTGACTTTTTTCTTCTTTTTTTTTTTTTTTTACAGTTATTCAATGTTAATTTGGCTCTGTGTTTTACAACCTGTAGACCTTCAGGTACAGTGTAAACATGAAGACTTAGTATTTAACACCTTTACATCAATAAATGAATGTGTTAAAGTGAAAAACTGAAGCCCATCTGGGATCATACTCGACCCTGAGGACTCAAACTTGGACTCAGAGTCGGACTTGACTTTGATTTTTCTCTGTTGACTCGGCCTCGAGCACTGGGGACTCAAGGATTGGCGACTTATACAACAATGGCATGTAGACCAAGCAGTGTTTAGTGTTCAAGTTATGTTTGATCAGGAGGTGGTTGTCTGGTTCTAGACTGTCTGCTTGGTGTTGCCTCAGCTAATTCCTTGCTCCAGCTTTTATAATAACTGAACATTATGTTAACATTAGCTATCAGTGTTAAGCTCTCCATATCTGGCAAGATAGCTTGTTCAGTGTTTCTCAAACATTGATTTATTTGTTGCAGCACATACATGGGAGAGAGAAATGTTGCTGTATTCTTCCTGCAGAAAATACAGCTGATGATAGGAGACCCTTATTATTTCCTTAGTTACATGGTTGTTTTATTATCCTGCTGCTTGCTCTACCAAGTATGTAGTTAGTATGGTATGTTCCACAAGCTCTCTCTTCATTTTTTAAGATGAAATAAACCACTCCAGTCAGCAACAACCACAAATAGATTCTCATTTTGTGGGAAATACAGCCTTCACGTGGATTTTAACATGTACATGTATTTCAGGTCAGATGATGACATGAGAGTCAACGTCTTCATAACAGTAGATGAGAGGTTATCACCAACCTAGATATGGTAGAAAAACAGCTCTTGAAATGTAAACTTCATCATCATGTTATTCATGCAGCAGAGAGCTGACAGGGATTTTAACCCCCCCCCCCCTTCTGTCCACCCACTGCCTCTTGTGTTCTGCTTCCAGCTGTATTACGGAAGAGCCAAACCCAAAGCTGGTGGTTTCACACTTAACACAGACAAGCACAGTTTGGAAGAGGCCATTTTCCTAACTTTCTCATACTTTCCCAGGTCTAAGTCTGACACACTGACCTTTGGAAGCTTTACCCTGAAGTCATAGTCTCAAAGTATCCTCTTCCCACTACCACAAAGTGAAAAAAAAACACAGAAACACACACACTTGACCTCACCCACTTTTTTAAGTTGGAGTCAGAGAGAGACATGGAGGCTTTCCTGAGAGCTTAGAGTTGGTTTGTGAGTGATGCGTTGGGTTCTCACAGTGTATGTGTGTGTGTGTGTGTTCACGATGAGCTGTCAGTCCCTTCGACAAGCTGGGTGTCTAATATTAACCTATGAGGGGGCTCAGCCCAGTGGACTCTGATCTAAACACACAGACTCATCTCAGGCAGACTCCCGACCGGCCACGGAATTTCACACACACTACTTATACACACATCTGCAATGTGCTTGTATCCAAGTGCACACTCTTTCTCTCTCGTCCCACACACACACACACACACACACACTCAACTTCATTAAAACAGGTCAACTTCTAACCTTAAATGGCCTCCATTAAAGATGGTTTGATCACGCCGGCATAATTATTGTTATTCATCCACAAGCTCCTTTTACCCTTTATTTTGGTTTACACATATGTCCCCACAAAGAGGCCTGACACACGCGCGCGCACGCACACACACACACACACACACACACACACACACACACACACACACACACACACACACACACACACACACATACATACATACACAGAGACTCAGTGTGTAATCAAGTTCAATCACCCATAAAGTCCATTAAAATATCAGCTTTCTCATTTGATTTTGCCTTTGTGTCCTGTCTGTATGTTGTCTTACAGGAGAAAATAATGAAAAGACTATGTTCTGCCCCCTGGTGGCTTGGTAACATATTGAAGAGCCAAATGAAAACTTCATTTTAGCTAAAGATGTCTGTCAGCTTAATTCTGCAGTGACTCTATTTGGAACAAACACATTTTTGTTGGACCTGTAAGTAAAGTTTATATTTGAGAGAAATCCTTTTAAAAATTGGTGGTAAAAATAAATGATAAAAAACAGACAAACAAAAAATCTTAATCAGCTACTCTCCTTCTAAATGTCAATGACTCCTCCTGTCCTCTTCATTTCCTCACTGTACATCCATCAGTCTTGTTGACAGGGAGGAACAGAGGCCCAGGGTTGTGTCACCACAGTATCCTGGCACAGTGTCTGGTGTTAGGTGATAGTGAAGCTGCAGCAGGGTGTGAGGGGTACCCGCAGGCTCTGCTGTCCCCCAGGCCGGAAGCCTCAGCCTGGGCAGCGGTTAGCCAGCACATCCCGCTCTGAGAAACACTGCAGTGCTCTGAGGAAAGTTCCCTTGTAACACGTCCTTATAATATGCATAAGCAGCAGTCAATATAACGTTTTTTTTTTAAAGACAAATTTTGCAAAAACACAGCAAGAGCCTGACCTATGATGGCAATAAAAGAGGCTTAATTAATGTAAACACATAACCCTAACCCTAACCCAAGTTTTGAAAGGTTAAAAAGCTATAAGATAAAATAATAGGTAAATACATAGACATATTACAAAAAATATCAAATCCAAAATTGCTATGGAAATTTCAACTAAAATTGAAATTCAAGAGCTGTTTTTTGAGGTGAAGTGATCGTTCTGTCTCCACATGTTCGGCACCAACACACTGCCTATTTTTAAGATCAGACCTCAATACAAACTTTTATTCCAAGGCTTTTGGCTCTGCATGAGAGATGGTATTTTTTATCTTTTCTTTTCCAATCAATCTTCACACCAAATTTCCCTCAGAGATTAATAAAGAATATCAAATCAAAATGTTCACACTTTCCTGTTTATTTCCCAGTTGTTTTTGAATTGGTCTTAGTGTTTTATGGTTTTATTTTTTGATTGTTGAGCTCTTTTGTCAACTTTGACAAAAGAGCTTTAACTTAAATGTAAACTTTAACTTAAATGTGCTTTAAAACAATTGTTTTATTTGATTATTCAGGAAACATCCATCAATCCAGACAACTTTAATGATGGTCAAACAATGACATGTAAAGGCTGAATATGACTTAAATTTGCAATTTGCAACTTCAACACTTTAGTACAAATGAAGTTCCTTCCTCTGGTTCAGTAACAGAGATCACAGGTGGGGACCAAAACCTTCCTTAAGGGCTCATCACGAGCAACGATACAGTATATCCAGAAGGCCCACTCTGTTTAACACCAGGTGGCAATGTTGCTTAGCAGAGCCTAAAAAAAATGGTTGGGCGTCTTGTCTCAATGTTTCACATGAGAAACACAAAAAGGCAGAAACTCTGTGCATTGAAATGACAGAACAATAGATATTGTGCTCTGAGAAGAAATAAACACTCAAAACAATACTTGTGCAAACACTCAGGGATTATAAGAACAATTCAGTGAGAAAAAGGGAATGCTGTCATACTTATTAAAGCTTTTTTTTGAAAAATGTTATGTTTTTGCAGTGGTTTTGATGTCTACAACTGATACCTTTTTGAGTTCTGTTCTCGAACAACTAAAAAAACAAGAGAGCGTCGACTGACAAATGTGAAAACAGGTCTCAACATATTTTTTTAAATGAACATTATATCTCTGCTACCAAACTCATCTTCATCATCTGAACATTGTTTCTAAGAATTTGTGTCTGTCAATTGTCTCATCGTGCACCTTTTAGTCATTTATGTCTCTTTTTTGATATGTTATCTCACCAATAAAAAACAAAATAAAATTCAAAACTCTTTGTAGTACATCTTTTCCACACTAGGGGCCGCATAACTGAGGTTAGGGGTCAAGGCAGAATTAGACATTGAGTTGCGATTAAGAAGTTTTAAAACGGTTTGTGGCCTCCCTTTTATGCTTGAATGTGAAATATATGTTGATTATTTACTGCACAGGCTGAACATCAGGGAGTCTGGTGTAAAGGTGTTCTCAGTGATCAGTGACAGTGTTGATGAGGCAGGAGGACCAAAGAGGAGGAGGAGGAGGTGTTGAACTTTGGCCTGTTGTGGAAGGAACCTTCCATCCATCTATCTGCTCTCATGTTGATAAGGCTGCACAAGTTGCTGTTATGGGTGATGAGAGGGAGGAAGCAGGAGCGGGTGAGGTCTCAAAGGTGTGTGAGGTTTAAGTGGCCGTTACACCCCCCCACCCCAAACCCACCCCACCCCCCCAAGACCACAGGGCCACTGAGAGACAGCATGTGCCTGCTTTTAATACTGCTCCTGCACAAAACCAGAGCAAGGCAGCGTTCCGTTTGAAACCGGAATTCACCAGAACAAGTGTATCCTGATGTGGTGAGGAGCTGGGGGGAGAAGGAGGGGGAGAGAGTAGAGAGGGGACGACACAGAAAGCCCCATGCGTTTTAGGCCTCAATAAATCGCTGTCATTTCTAGATCTCTATGAGAAGGTGGTGATGAAGGGGGTTTGTCAGTGAGAGGGAGAGAGGGGGAGGATGTGTTGTATGTGAAGTTTTCAAACATAGAAAAACATTTAGGTCTAAAATATTTATGAAACTAACACGAGCAGCATCTGCTTGTCTGCTTGATGCATGATTGTAGACGGGGGGGTTGTCAAACATTTATGTCTTGCTGCAGAAAGAAATTTGGGTTACATCATTGATTGTGTGAACATGTAGGCCTATAGTACTTTATTAAAATCAATATCAACAAAAATAGAATACATAATAATAAACCTGATCCATTAAAAAGAAGCTCTTTCACTCAGTAGAATGCCAAATGGAGCAGCAAGAAATTCAGCCAGTCTCACAGATGACTTGAGTAGATCCCGAAGTATGTACTTATTCAAAAATAGACTTGAACCATGAATCCAGAATCGTTTTGAATCGAAAATAGATTCTGAATCGAATCGTGACCCCAAGAATCAAAATCAAATCGAACCATGAGACACCCAAAGATTCACAGCCCTAGTAACATA